CGGGGTGTCTGTGGAAAGTGGTCGGGTCGTCATCCTTGACGAAGATGTTGAGCGACCGGTCCTCAGCACTCCAGCCGTGTTTCACTTGCGTCTCGTGAGGGGCGGCCGGCATATCCAGCAGTAGGTCAAGCCGTGCGGGTCGGGCGCTGTCCAGCAGGTCTTTGGTGCGCGACGCGATCGACGACGAGTTGTCGCGACTGATCGGAGACTTTATTGAACTCACTTTTTGGCCCATTATTGGTGCGAAGAGTTGCGGCCAACGATGGTTGTGGTGAACGACACCCACGGGTCGGTAGATATAGAAACGGGGTTTGGATTTACAGGGCTTTAGTGGACCGCACTTTGCAGTCGACGATGGCTTTGAGAGATCGCACCGATAGAGACCATAACCCGAGTAAAAGCTATTAATACTGCAAATGAGATACGAAAATAAGGCATTAATTCACGTGAAACTAATGATTGCTTTTTTCTAACTAAAACTTTTTTCTCTCGAAACGCGTTAACCGATTGTTTTAAATAAAAAAAGTTTTCAATTGAAATTAATTACATTTAAGGCGTTTAATGAGTCGTTTTTTGCCAATTATTTTAAAACAAATTATCGTTTGAGTAAAAAGTACTTTGAATTTATAATAAAATCAAATGAAATGAAGATTAAAAGAGACTGCAGTCGACGACATCCAAAGCACTACTGCCTGACAAAAACTTTTGCATAAATCTAATACAAATGAAGTTAAGACTGAAGTGTAAAGTGACAACTATTTTAAAAACTTTGGTCCAGACGTATGGCTAACGACTTGTTAGACATTTATGTTACAATAAGTTTCAAACTTAAAGTTTGTGTATAAAGTGTAAAAGTCACTAATCAAAAGTGTTTGAAAGACTACCAAATTAGTGTGTTATTGAGTGATTAGTTATGATTATACATAAAAAGTTTACGCGACAGGATTCAGACACTCTTATCGTAGATTATATTATATTCACTGTATTTCTGGTCAGAGACTAGTGTTTCGACAAACTCTGACAAAAACATAACAAAACATATTATAATAAAACATTTTTTTCAAGTTCTATGAACTTTGAGTTTATAGATATCTCTACATTGGATATATTCATGTAAACAATGATTACAGTTAACACAAAAAATGATTATCATATTTTTATATACAGTTTATATAAAATCATACGTTCATATAACTTAGTAACTGTCAATGTAGTCATCAGTAATAACAATAACAACTGATAACTAGTCTAAAAATATGGTAAGAGTTAAATGCAAAGTCGTTTTTAATTGAAAAGTCAAAGATTTCACATCAAAAAAGAGTTCAATATTTTTAAATCAATCTTTTTTTAGTTCAAAGTTTTTTGCACTGAAATAGTAGTCATTGATATCTATTTGAGTTGAAATAAATTTTTTAATTGAAAAGTCAAAGATTTCACATCAAAAAAGAGTTCAATATTTTTAAATCAATCTTTTTTAGTTCAAAGTTTTTTGCACTGAAATAGTAGTCATTGATATCTATTTGAGTTGAAATAAATTAAAAGTTTTTCATCATATTTAGAGCAAAGAGATGGGAATATATTTTGAAGTTTTCGGAAACTTTTCCAAACGATATGAGAGGGAAGAGTCGGTATTTGAAGGGAAATATATACACAAATACATACCAATCAATATTATAGTACATTATATTTATATGGAAAGCACCAAAATAACTTTTAAATATCGATAAATACAAACTAATGGCAAACAAACACACATTAATAGAAATATGATTGAAGTATATCTCAAAACATGTTCAGAGAGTCAGTAGTTTTGCTATTTTTGAAACCAAAGGCCATTAGAGTTGGTGTGACTCTGAACTGAACGCAATGTTGAGTTGTTTAAGGTTTTGTATGCCTTTAAACAGTGAAATAATTGCCCGAAAAACTATTTTTTTTAATTGAAAAGTCAAAGATTTCACATCAAAAAAGAGTTCAATATTTTGAAATCAATCTTTTTTTAGTTCAAAGTTTTTTGCACTGAAATAGTAGTCATTGATATCTATTTGAGTTGAAATAAATGAAAAGTTTTTCATCATATTGAGAGCAAAGAGATGGGAATATATTTTGAAGTTTTCGGAAACTTTTCCAAACGATATGAGAGGGAAGAGTCGGTATTTGAAGGGAAATATACACACAAATACATACCAATCAATATTATAGTACATTATATTTATATGGAAAGCACCAAAATAACTTTTAAATATCGATAAATACAAACTAATGGCAAACAAACACACATTAATAGAAATATTATTGAAGTATATCTCAAAACATGTTCAGAGAGTGAGTAGTTTTGCTATTTTTGAAACCAAAGGCCATTAGAGTTGGTGTGACTCTGAACTGAACGCAATGTTGAGTTGTTTAAGGTTTTGTATGCCTTTAAACAGTGAAATAATTGCCCGAAAAACTATTTTTGGCCACAAATATAGGTTACAGAATATAGTGGTATACATGCGATAGTCGAGAGAGAATGGGAGAGACTGAGAGAGCACTCGGAGAGAGAGAGCAGAGAGAGACTCGTATTTGTAATCGTATTCTCTTTTATGTGAACTTCAAGAAAGAGAAGTGTATTTCAAAAAGCATTCAAAAACGGCATCTCTTTTTTGAGGCAAACATCTGCTCAATAGAGATATGCAGTAAATATGACTCTTAGAGGCGACGTCTTATACAAAGAGGTACTGCCAGTGCCAGAGGAACCAGTGCTACGGGTGCTGCCTATGACTGAGGGTATGCCTGCGCTCCCTGTGCCAGACGGTGGGGGCATTCCTTGGGGTCAAATGGCAGCACACGTTCCGCACACGACGGGCACACATACTCTGCAAACGCGCGTACCTTTCAATTGAGCACAAGTCGGGTATAACTCATACCAATCGCACTCCAAATGCTTTATTGCTTGCAGTGTTTCGTAACAAATGCGAGATTATATCACAGACTTTGCATCAAATTATACATTCAAGACATTCACTTCTGTATTCACTTTTATAAAAAATAAGTCACAAAATATATATTCAACAAAAATCTTTGGATATTACGGTATGACTATAGGAAGCGTACAGTTATATCACATAATTTCACAAACGAGATGATTGTTAATTGACTGATTGGGACAGTAGTGCCCAGTTGTTACACAGTAGACATAAATATATATTTTTTTGATAATAGAAAACTAAAATATAAATTAATATCTAGTGTTAAATTGTTTCAAACATATTGTCGGGCATAGGATGGCCTTCGGGGAGAAGGTATATAACAAAGAGGTGGTACTCATAGAGCAGCTGTCGCTGGCTTTTAGCGATCGGTCGGCGCTCTGTTTCGATGAGATATAATACGAGAGTATATTTGGCTAATCAAGTGAAATGCGGGCCAACACACCAACACATAGGGAGAGACACATGAAAAACCTGGTGTTAGCCAAAGATATGGTGATTGTGTTTATTGTAAAAGAGATGTGCACTCGACTGGTGCTCACCTGCCTCTGCCTTATGACAGACACTGTACTTGCGATGGGAAGGACTGACTCCGACTACTCTGGGCTCGTATGCACGCAAACAAAGAGCATCACTAAAACCACAATGAATTTAATGCGAGAACTCTTATGGCTATAAAAACATACATAACATCTGACAGAAGGCACACCAGAAATAGAGTGCTTAAAGATAACGGTGCCGTATATTACAGCCCCATCTCAGTGGCGCACACTTTCTCGTAATTATCACTTGAGGAGAGCCAGTCTATACCCCATCCCCACAAATGTTTGTCCTTCAGTTGTACCACAATCACAATATACAGTACAGCAGCGAATGTCATTGAATTTTGTATATAAATATCAATATTATTATAAACCAAATCAATGTATTATTAGAACCTTATAATGGTATTCATTGACTCCAATTCTGGCATTCATTAGCATTTGTGCCAAATATTCAAATATTCTCATCGCTTATAAATTAAAACATACTTTTCCTTTAATTCATAGTCTACAAAACTATTTGCAATGACATAAAATGCTTAATACTATCTCTTTTATATTTATATTTACAATTTTAATTACATACTGGGCAAAAACATTGAAATTAAAAATACAACTTTTGGGAAATTATAAAACAAATGTAAAGGTTTAGATCATTTTGAAAGCCAAACAAAAAAAGCATATGTGAATCATAAGAGTAGACAATTTTTGCGGACAATTCACATGATTTACAGCACATGAACACAAAGAGATAGAGAAGTCCTAGAAATTTGTTGTCAGCCTTTTGTTACTAAACACAGGTTTTGTAATTATATTGCTTTTGTAGTCTACAGTATTGTGTTCACTAATACCTGTCTCACCCGACGAATCGGTTCATAAGGTTTTAAAGCAAATGTTAACATAAAAAAAGCAGACATTTAGACATTTAGATGGTGTGTAACGAAAGATACGCTTTGGAGGTATCATAATAATTATAATTTACAACTAATTTTTTCCATACAAATACTATCTATTAGTGGATTTACATCTTAAATCGAGACAACAGTTTGCTTTAAAAATAATTTTCTCGCAAAATAAAAAAACACTTTAAACACTATTTTTTGTTTTGTTTTTATTACACAATTCCGAGAAAGCATTTCGTCTTAACTGTTATTTCGCTCAAGACTTTCGCCTTTTCGGTATTTTTGAGATTATTTCCAAACAATTATTACTTGATTTTTCTCTCACTCCTCGGCTATACTGTACTTCTGGTGTGCTTTGTTTCAGTCAAATAAAAAACAAGTTTTTTGTCATTTATTTCTATTTCTTAAGAGACTTCGAGAGTCAAGAGACGAGCTTTCAGTGAATGATTTAAATTGACGTGAAATGTGTGTTATCTTCAAAACACACAATAAAAAAGTATTGAAAAAATGGTGAAAATAATATTTTGTGAAAAACTCTAATAACTCTATGTTTCGTAACGGAAATGGAGAGAAATAATCATAATTTCTTCTTCTCGAGTGAATCGTTGAAACATTTTATGGCAAACATAAGGGTTTAGAGTCGACTTAACACTACATTTTTGTTTTATATTCTCCATACAAAATAAAGTTTAAGAAAAATATATATATAATTTATATTTTCCTAGCCATTTATTTTTGCCTTAAACGTAGAAAAAGAAATAAATAATTTTATTTATTTATAAAGATTTTAATAAAAGTTATTAAAAATGATTCGTTCAAAAAAAAATTTGTACAATATTTTTGTGATGAAATTTCAAATACTACTATTTCATTAAAATATTTGCTCAAGTAGAAAATCTAAGTGAGAGTGGTTTAGCCCAATAGTGGGACCACTGGTTGAGTTGGACAACAGGCTTAACATAAACAGGACATAAATAGTGGCAAAACTTAGTGTCAATTGTGTTAAGTCAAGAGAAGGGGAAATCGACACAGAATTTACTGCTTATTGTTCAGCGAAAATGAAAAGATATAGAAAATTGCTATTTGGAGGCCAAGTATTCATTCATTT